GGAAGACGACCATCCAGGCAATAGAGATCGCATGGGGCATCCTCGGATTTGTGTCTATTAATTTGTATGTCCCTGGGCCCCTTCATCAAAGGCTGGTGGACTTAGGCCTCCCCGAAGATGGGTGGAGACTTGCGACCAGTGGCGCAGCATTGGCTGCTCAGACAGCATTAAGGCCAGGCACTGGACCTTCTCCACACGCCTGGCCAAATACATGAACACATCGCTTCGCCAACCCTCCCCCCGTCCGTCGCGCCAAATTAGCTGGTCGCTGCACGCGCGGGCATGCGCGGGCAAGCGCGGCCGCAGAAGGGCACCAACCAACACCAAACACTCATCGCAATCGCCGCCGCATGGGTTTTGCAAACCACGTTGGTGGGTGGGTGGGTGTGATGGTTGCGCGAGCAGAAGGGCTGTCAACCCCACGCGTTCCACACGTGCACCACATAGCTTGCACCACACATGTTGTCACACATAATCTGCATCACATAGATTCTCTCCTTTCTTCAACGAGAATAGATTTGACCACCCTCCAGAAGGCGGACTTGTCGGCTCATTTTTCCGGATTGCAATGTGCATACGATTTTACCCCATCGCCCATCCGGAATATAAATTCGCACCACCCAGGAAGGGGTATTCCCCCCCCCCCGCCATCTTTTGCAGAAAGCATTATGCGCGCGAGTTTGTTGATCGACGATTATCAGTTTTCATAGGCACTTGGTATCAAAAACTGTGACATCGTGCGCACGCGTGAGTCGTCGCGCGCGCATGCAGAAATTTTTAAATTCAACAATCGAGTGTCCAAAACCATGTAAACATACAGGGTTTCGCACAACGGTTTTTCAAAACAACTTGCGCGCGCGCTCTTGCGAATTCGCAGGCAACGCATTCTGGAATGTTCACCATGTTCATACCAAGCTACCAGAAGGGATTCGCGCGCGCATGTAGCCATCATTCGATCGCCCTTGCGCGCGTCCTGTCGCGAGAATCCTTTTGCAAAGGATGGGACGCAGTGCGCGTGCGTCGTCGCGCGCGAATGTCGCAATCCGTGTTTTTCTATATATATGTATATATACACACCATATATTCCATATGGGTCCGTAACGATTTCAAAACCCGAGTGCCCAACCGACATATACAAAGCACATGGATTCGCAACATCAGTGTTCAAAACGCGTGCGCTCGCGCTCTCGCGAATTCTTATGGCAACCATTTTGTTTCAACATGTCCATTGGATTCTGCCAAACGGGCCTCCTCGCGCCGCATGCGTAAATTATTCGCACACCCTTGCGCGCGTGCTGGGGGGCCCGATCCGTGTCAACTAAGACCCTGTGGGCCACACTCGCGCGTCGGCCGCGTGCGCATGTTGAGCTCTTCCCTGGACCTCCATCGTCGACGCGAGGATGCCGTCATCGTCGTTGGCGCGATCAGCACCTGCGCCGTCACTGGCCGCGCCGTCGTCGTTGTCAATATCGCCACCAGCATCGCTACTATCACCATCGCGTCTACCGTTGTCGACGTTGCCATGCTACCGCGCCCGCCCGGGCCGCCGATTCGCATTGAAGCGCCCGCTGGGATGTGCCCAGCGGTCCGCGCCACCGCGGCCGCGTCGGCCGCGCCAAACTAGTTGGCCGCTGCGCTTGCGTGTTTGGGTTGGCATGGCCGCAGAGACGCACCAGCCAACGCCAAGCACTCATCGCAATCGCCGCCGCATGGGTTTTGCAAACCACGTTGGTGGGTGGGTGGGTGTGATGGTTGCGCGAGCAGTAGGGCTGTCAACCCCACGTGTTCCACACGTACACCACATAACTTACACCACGAATGTTGCCACACATGATCTTTATCACATAGCTTCTCTCCTTTATTCAACGAGAACAGATTTGACCACCCTCCCGAGGGCGGACTTGTCGGTTCATTTTTTCGTATTGCAATGTGCATGCGATCTTACCCCATCGCCCATCCGGAAAATAAATTCGCACCACCCCAAGGGGGGTATCCGCCCCCCCCCCCCCCCGCCATCCTTTGCAGAAAGCATTATGCGCGCGAGTTTTCATATATACATATATATATATACATACATACATATATATATGTATATATATACAATCGTTAGTTTTCAAAAAGGCACCTGTATAAAAAAAACCTGTCTTCGTACCACGGACTTTCAAAACAACTTGCGCGCGCGCTCTTGCGAATTCGCAGGCAACACATTCTGGAATGTTCAACATTTTCATACCAAGCTACCAGAAGGGATTCGCGCGCGCATGTAGCCATCGTTCGATCGCCCTTGCGCGCGTCCTGTCGCGAGAACTCCTTTACAAAGGATGGGACGCAGTGCGCGCGCGCCTCGTCGCGAACGAATGCCGCAATCCGTTGCTTGTTCAATAAAAAACATCGGAAAAAACAACCCTGCTTCCGTAGCGATTTCAAAACCCGAATGCCCAGCCGACGTATAAAAAGCACATGGCTTCGCAGCAGCAGTGCTCAAAACGCGTGCGCTCGCGCTCTCGCGGATTCTTATGGCAACCATTTTGTTTCAACATGTCCATTGGATTCTGCCAAACGGGCCTCTCGCGCCGCGGGCCGAAATCATTCGCACGCCCTTGCGCGCGTGCTGGGGGGCCCGATCCGTGTCAACTAAGACCCTGTGGGCCACTCTGGCGCGACGGCCGCGCGCGCATGTTGAACTTTTCCCGGAACCTCCATCGTCGACGCGAGGGTGCCGTCAGCGTCGTCGGCGCGATCAGCATTTGCGCCATCACTGGCCGCGCCGTCGTCGTTGTCAACATCGCCACCAGCATCGCTACTATCATCATCGCGTCTACCGTCGTCGACGTTGCCATGCTACCGCGCCCGCCCAAGTCGCCGATTCGCATTGGAGCGCCCGTCGGGGGTGTGCCCAGCGGTCAGCGCCACCGCGGCCGCGTCGACCGCGCCAAACTAGCTGGCCGTTCCGGTTGCGTGTTTGGGTTGGCACGGCCGCAGAGACGCACCAGCCAACGCCAAGCACTCATCGCAATCGCCGCCGCATGTGTTTTGCAAACCAAGTTGTTGGCGGGTGTGGGATGTTTGCAAGAGCATGGGAGGTTGTCAAGCGCGGTGCAGGGTAGCCACTTGCTCCGCATACATGGCACCACATTGCGCAACATAGCTTGCAAATCGTCGAACACAGCTTGCACCACACATTGCATCACGTATACTTGCCCACGTGGATTACACCGCGTACACTGTGCCACGCAGATTGCGCCACACATGTGGCTAGAATCACATGGTCCACGCTGGCTAACACTGCTCTAAGAGCACGTTGTGGTAGTTTTCTGGGAATGCCAGGATGGTCGGTCCGAGCGGGAGGAGGAGGAGGAGATGGAGGAGGAGGAGGAGGAGGAGAAGGAAAAGGAGGAGGAGGAGGAGGAAAAGGAGGATGAGGAGGAGGGGAAATAACATAAGGAGGGGGGAGACGGGGAGGAGGAGGAGAAGGAGGCGGAGGCGGAGGAGGAGGAGGAGGAGGAAACCTGCTCAAGGGGAAGGAGCAGAGGGGGGAGAGGACAGGACGACTGCTGGCGCAGCTCTTTGGCCTCCTGGCCACGGGCCGCTACAGCGGCGGGGTCGAGGCGGTCGCTCCCCCGCGGAGCGGCGCGTGCTGGCGGTGGAGATCGCCGAGTTGGCGTTTCGCGCGCCCCCGTTCATCTAGGCATGCGGATCTCCGCTGGTCGCGGGGGCTTTCCGTCTTTATCGATCGGCATCGTTTAACCAATCCCCATCCCCATCCCCATCCCCTTCGAGACCCCCGCCGAATTACCACCCCAGTTGTGGATACACCCCTCGAAACCCGAAGGGAAAAGCCTAAGTAAATCTGCCAGTGGGGCCCAGGCCACGCTGCTGTGGATGGGGATCGGTTCAACGATACTCATATGAGGATCTCTGCTGGTCGCAGGGGCTGCCCGTCTTGATCGATGATCCTCAGGACGTGCGTCAGGCTCATGCGTGCTTTCCCCGTGCAGCCTCCAGCGATGTCGTGCAGCTTGTGATGTCCCTCTCTCTATACACCTGTGCGTCGTATGGAAGGGTGGCGGTGGACAAACACACGTTGTCGATCATTAGCCCACATTCTGAGGATCATTGGTTCTAGCCTCCCAAAGATAGGGTCCGAGCAGATGGTGCCGGAGGATCATGCAGCATCGCCGATGCATCGGCGATGCGGCTCGATGTGGAACCCGATTTTATCCGCGATGCCGTCGCCGTTGCACCGCCGACGTTGCCGATGCATCGCGCGTGCATCGTCGATGCATCGGCGACGTCAGCGCGATCCTCCGACCTAATTTGCTTGGACCCCATCTAGGAGGCCTGTACTGTCAGATGTTTGTTCTTCCTAGGGTTTACCTGACAGATCTGTTCGGCTCCAGTTTAGCTCCAGTTCGGTTCCAGTCCAACTCCAGCTGGACTCATGATCGATTTGAGTTCGGATAAAGTCGACGGACGTTCGACGCAGCATCGACACATGAGTGGAGCAAGTGGCTCCAGGAAGGTGCCCAGAGCGAGCATCTAATGCCTGGGTTCACATCGCCTGTTCCGTCGCAACTTCTGGGGACCTTTGTGTGTTGCACAAGTAGCGCTTCTTGCTTGTGTCCGGCGAAGCTTTGACAGGGAAACGACGCGAACTCGATGTGGACTCGTGGGCTCTCTACGTATATTCGACACGGACTCGGCGCTAAGAGCGATGGGGCAGGCGAGGTCCCCCGAGGGTGCGGCGTGACGCCTGTCTTGCAAGAACCCTCGGGGATACTGCACTCCCGCCTTCCCGTCCGTTGACAGGTGGACGGAGTGGCCAGAACCCCATGCGCTGACCCCTTTGAGAGCACAGAGAAAGGGCCTTCCTGCCTGCTTAGTTAGGTTCCCGACAGGCACGGCCGCTGATTCGGCCGCGGTGTGGCTTGGCCGCGGCAAAGAATGGCGTTGCAGAGGGGGAGCGCGGGATCAGTGAGATCAGTGCCGAGGAGGCGTATCCGAGTCGTGAGCGCACCACGTGTGAGAACAAGAGAGCATGCGTGGCAGAGCCCCTTGCAACACAGAGGCAAGTTGCGTTCGAACAGCCGTGCACGATCGATGCCTCGGCGCTCAGCACCACCACGTGCGCAGGCGCGTGCACACCACTGCGGGCCCGAGCTGGAGGCCGCCTTCCTCGGCGATTCCAGCTTCGAGGCGATGAGACGAGTGGCTCAAGCTGCTCCCGCTCCTTTTCACCGCTCGCCAAAGTCACCCAAACCCAACCCGAAGGCCCCGAATGGCCCTCCATTTCCAGTGGGGGGGGGTCGGGGAACATGGAATTATCCTGGCGAAGGTCCCAACCATGTGCAGTTGTGGGTACCGTAATTGTGAATATCTGCTTCGGTGAAGTTCCCTATGGGGCCACGAAGCGCTGCACTGGGCGGGGGGGAACGCTGTACTGTGTGGGTGGTGTGCCGAATTGGGTTTCCGGGACGCATGCGGACGGTCCCACTGAGGGCTTCGGTGGAGCTCCCTTTGGGGCCACGAAGCGCTCTACTGAGTGAGTGAAAATGCCAAATTGGGTTTCCCCGACGCATGCGGACGGTCACACTGGGGGCTTCGGTGGAGCCCCTGTGGGGCCGCGAAACGCTGCACTCTGGAAGTGAAAATGCCAAATTACATTTCCCGGACGCATACGGACGGTGGCACTGGGACTTTGGGTGGAGCCCCCTTATGGGGCCACGAAGCGCTGCACTGGGTGAGTGAAAATGCCAAATTAGGCTTCCGGGACGCATGCGGACGGTAGCACTGGGGCCTTCGGTGGAGCTCCCTATGGGGCCACGAAAGGCTGTACTGGGTGTGCGGGACGCGTGCGAACGGTAGCGTTGGGACCTTCGGTGGGGCTCCCTATGGGGCCACGAAGCGCTGTACTGGGCGTGCGGAACGCATGCGGACGGTAGCACTGGGACCTTCGGTGGGGCTCCCTATGGGGCCACGAAGCGTTGTACTGGATGCGTGAAACGCAGGGAGGAGGGGGAGGAGGGCCGCGAAACGCTGTACTGGGTGTGCGGGACGCATGCGGACGGTAGCGCTGGGACCTTCGGTGGAGCTCCCTATGGGGCCACGAAACGCTGTAGTGCTGTACTGGGTGGGTGAACGCAGGGAGGAGCGGGAGTAGGGCCACGAAACGCTGTACTGGGTGTGCGGGACGCATGCGGACGGTAGCATTGGTATCTTCGGTGGAGCTCCCTATGGGGCCACGAAGCGCTGTACTGAGTGTGCGGGACGCATGCGGACGGTAGCACTGGGACCTTCGATGGGGCTCCCTATGGGGCCACGAACGCTGTATGGGTGTGCGGGACGCATGCGGACGGTAGCACTGGGACCTTCGGGGGGCCCTATGGGGCCACGAAAACGCTGTACTGGGTGGATGAAACGCAGGGAGGAGGGGGGGGAGGAGGGCCACGAAACGCTGTATGTGGTGTGCGGGACGCATGCGGACGGTAGCACTGGGACCTTCGGTGGAGGCTATGGGGCCACGAAAGGCTGTACTGGGTGTGCGGGACGCGTGCGGACGGTAGCGTTGGGACCTTCGGTGGGGCTCCCTATGAGGCCACGAAGCGCTGTACTCGGTGGGTGACACGCAGGGAGGAGGGGGAGGAGGGCCACGAAACGCTGTACTGGGTGTGCGGGACGCATGCGGACGGTAGCACTGGGACCTTCGGTGGGGCTCCCTATGGGGCCACGAAACGCTGTACTGGATACGTGAAACGCAGGGAGGAGGGGGAGGAGGGCCGCGAAACGCTGTATTGGGTGTGCGGGACGCATGCGGACGGTAGCGCTGCGACCTTCGGTGGTGCTCCCTATGGTGCCACGAAACGCTGTACTGCTGTACTGGGTGGGTGAACGCAAGGAGGAGGGGGAGGAGGGCCACGAAACGCTGTACTGAATGTGCGGGACGCATGCGGACGGTAGCACTGGGACCTTCGGTGGAGCTCCCTATGGGGCCACGGAGCGCTGTATTGGGTGTGCGGGACGCATGCGGGCGGTAGCGTTGGGACCTTCGGTGGGGCTCCCTATGGGGCCACGAAGCGTTGTATTGGGTGGGTGAAACGCAGGGAGGAGGGGGAGGAGGGGCCACGAAGCGCTGCTGTTTACTGGGTGTGCGGGACGCGTGCGGACGGTTAGCGTTGTGACCTCGGTGGGGCTCCCTATGAGGGGCCCACGAAGCGCTGTACGGGCGTGCGGGACGCATGCGGCGGTAGCACTGGGACCTTCGGTGGAGCTCCCTATGGGGCCACGAACGCTGTACTGGGTGGATGCCCGCAGAGAGGAGGGGAGGAGGGCCACGAAACGCTGTACTGAGTGTGCGGGACGCATGCGGACGGTAGCACTGGGACCTTCGGTGGAGCTCCCTATGGGGCCACGAAGCGCTGTACTGGGTGTGCGGGACGCATGCGGACGGTAGCGCTGGGACCTTCGGTGGGGCTCCCTATGGGGCCACGAAGCGCTGTACTGGGTGGGTGAAACGCAGGGAGGAGGGGGAGGAGGGCCACGAAACGCTGTACTGGGTGTGCGGGACGCATGCGGACGGTAGCATTGGGACTTTCGGTGGGACGCATGCGGACGATAGCATTGGGACCTTCGGTGGGGCTCCCTATGGGGCCACGAAGCGTTGTACTGGGTGGGTGGAACGCAGGGAGGAGGAGGAGGAGGGCCACGAAACGCTGTACTGGGTGTGCGGGACGCATGCGGACTGTGGAGAGGAGGAGGGGGCAGAGGAGGAGGAGGGAACGCGGGGACCGTTTCTTCAAAACGAAGACCCAACACCACAGGATGGTTGGGAAAAACACATATGAAGCCCGTACCCCCCCAACCCGAAATTCGGGCGAAATTCGGGTCAATTCGGGTCTTCGGGTTGGATTGGGGTGGTCTGGCAAGCCGCGCTAGCATTCCCTGCACCCTCCAGGCGCGTTTGCCGCTACTGGTCATGCCATTCCTGTCAGCTCTCCGCATCCTCCTCCCCCCTCGTTCTCCCTCCCCTCCCCCGCCGGAGGCAGGGCAATCTATTTTCCATTCTCTCCTCCATCATCGCTCACCCGCGGGATGGCCGTACGTGGTTGTCTAGGCTTGTTTCTGCTGCACCTCACACTCATCGTTTTCTTTCTCGTGCCTTCCGCGCACTCTTTGCACACCTCCGTCCCTCTTCTTCCTTCCTGCCTCCGCTCCAGACAGCCACGCGAGATAAGTCGCAGCCTTGCTCCCGCCCCGCGGCATCTCCAGATCCCCTGAGATCCGTGGTCCCGGAAAAATTGCGCCAGCTTGAATTCTTTACGCTTCGCGTATCCCCACCAGCCCATCTCAAAACAGCAACTCTTGCGAAGCATGCCGACAGTCGTGTTTTTCAGGCGTGTTTCCGCCTGCCCCCGCATATCTCCCCTGTTCCTCCTTCCTCCCGCCTCCTTGTACATCCTCCTTGTGGTGGGAGCGGGAGAAGGACGAGGCGGAGGAGGAGGGAGAGAAAGCGCTCCTCGTGGTTTGAGTCGTTTGGGGTTTCTTGTCCTGGTGTGAGTCGTTCGGGCCCTTCTTCCTGGTGTGAATCGTTCGGGCTCTTCGTGATGTGAGTCGTTCGGGCTCTTCGTCCTGGTGTGAGTCGTTCGGGCTTCTCGTGGTGTGAGTTGTTCGGGCCCCTCGTCGTCGTGTGAGTCGTTCGGGCCCCTCCTCCTGGTGTGACTCGTTCGGGCTCCTCGTGGTGTGAGTCGTTCGGGGCCCTCGTCGTGGTGTGAGTCGTTTTGGGAGCCTCTTGGAGGCCTTTTGGGGCGTCTTCGGGGCCTCTTGGCGGCCCCAGGGGCTTCTAGGAGCGTCTTGGGTGCCTTGGGGGAGCCTCTTCGGGCCTCTTGGGAGCCTCTTGGAGGCCGTTTGGGGCGTCTTGGGGGCCTCTTGGCGGCTCCAGGGGCATCCAGGAACGTCTTGGGTGCCTCGGGGGAGCCTCTTGGGGCCTCTTGGGCGCCTCTTGGGGGCATCTTGGGGGCCTCTTGGAGGCCTCTTGGGGGCCTCCTATGGGCCTCTTGGGGCCATCTTGGGGCCTCTTGGTGCCTCCTGGGCGCTTCTTGGGGCCATCTTGGAGGGAATCGATCAAAGAAGAGGGGAGCTTTAATGAGCGCTGCCCCCTCAGAAGGGCAAAATGACCCCAAAACCTTCGTACAATCAATGATTTTGCTTGGAAAGAAGAGGGGCGCTTTAATGAGCGCTGCCCCCTTCAGAAAGCGAAAATGGGGCCAAAACCGAAGTAAAATCAATGATGTTGGCTTCAAAGAAGAGGAGAGGATTTTTTCTCCCCCCCCGTCGGGGCCAGAATCCTCGTGAGGGGTGTCGTTTTTTAGCCCTCCCAGGTGTCGAAAATGACTCCCCTGACGACCCGCGGAGGGACCTCTCCAGGCCCAGGGGGAGGGGGTAGGGGGAGGGGTAAACCCCTCCCCGAAGGGGAGGAAGGGGGTTGAGAACAGAGCGGGCTCTCTAAACCACTCACGCCCAAAGGGCTGGTGGGATTAGCCTGACGAAGGACCCAACCATATGCAGGTGTGAGTACCGCAATTGTGATTCCCTTTTTCGGTGGTGATCCCTATGAGGCAACGAACCGTGCTTGGGGTGTGCCGAATGAGTGGCGTGGTACACGACGCGAACGAAAACGATTGATCTGAGTACGTAGGGAGACTGAGCGCGGGTGAATCTGAGCGCGAGTGCGTCTGACTGTGAATGAATCTGCGTGCGAGCGAGTCTACGTGCACGCATGCGAGTACGCCAATGCATGGTGCAATTGTATATGAATGCTAATAGTTTGTGAATGACTGCCTCTGTAATAGTTTGTGAATGACTGCCTCTGAGTACTCGTGACGCTGGGCGTGGCCGCCGCAAGGAGCTTCCCCGGGGCTCCCCGACGGCATCGCCCGCGCGCCGCGACGCCACTGCGAGGATCGCGCCCGCTTCCTCCCCTTCTTTTACTCTTTCTTTGCCCGCGCACTCAAAAGTCCAAAGCTGCGGGCGCAGCGCAGCGCGGAGTCCCAGCGACGCGCGCAGGTCGCCCCGGACTGGTCCCAGCGACGCGCGCAGGTCGTCCGCTGCGCGCAGCAAAAAGAGGTAGCTGGCTGGCTGATAGCGGGCAAGGCTCTTGCCGCTGGGCAGAGCGACGACGGGCGAGCGAGGCGCGGAACTCCGACGGCCTCCGGCGGAGGTGTACTGGGTGGGGGAGACGCAAGCGGACTGCGCCACGGGGACCTTCGGTAGAGCTCCCTATGGGGCCACGAAACGTGTGAGGGATGTACCGAAATGGGCGTGCGGGACGCATGCGGGCGCACCCACTGGGACCTTCGGTTGGGATCCCTATGGGGCCGCGGAACGTGCGAGGGATGTGCCGAAATGGGTGTGCGGGACGCATGCGGGCACACCCAGTGGGACCTTCGGTGGGGCTCCCTATGGGGCCACGAAGCGTGTGAAGGGTGTACCGAAATGGGCGTGCGGGACGCACGCGGGCACACCCACCGGGTTTTCGGTGGAGCTCCCTATGGGGCCACGAAGCGTGTGAGGGGTGTGCCGAAATGGGCGTGCGGGGCGCATGCGGGCACACCCACTGGGACCTTCGGTGGAGCTCCCTATGGGGCCACGAAACGTGTGAGGGGTGTGCCGAAATGGGTGTGCAGGACGCATGCGGGCACACCCACAGGGGCCTTCGGTGGAGCTCCCTATGGGGCCACGAGACGTGTGAAGGGTGTGCCAAAAATGTGTGTGCGGGACGCATGCGGGCACACCCTCTGGGACCTTCGGTGGAGTTCCCTATGGGGCCACGAAGCGTGCGAGGGGTGGGCCGAAATGGGTGTGCGGGACGCATGCGGGCACACCCACTGGGACCTTCGGTGAAGCCTCCTGTGGGGCCACGAAACGTGTGAGGGGTGTGCCGAAATGGGTGTGCGGGACGCATGCGGGCACACCCACTGGGACCTTCGGTGGAGCTCCCTATGGGGCCACGAAGCGTGTGAAGGGTGTACCGAAATGGGTGTGCGGGACGCATGCGGGCACACCCACTGGCACTTTCGGTGGAGCCCCCTTATGGGGCCACGAAACGTGTGAGGGGTGTGCCGACATAGGTGTGCGGGACGCATGCGGGCACCCCCTCTGGGACCTTCGGTGGAGCTCCCTATGGGGCCACGAAACGTGTGAGGGGTGTGCCGAAATTGGTCGATGACGATGAATGGTGGGAGGAGGAGGAGGAGGGAGGAGGTGGAGGAGGGAGGAGGAGGAGGAGGAGGAGGAGAGGAGAGGAGAAGAGGAGGAGGAGGAGGAGGAGGAGGACGTAGGAGAGGAGGAGAGGAGGAGAGGAGGAGAGGAGGAGAGGAGGAGAGGGGGAGGAGGAGGAGAGGAGGAGGAGGAGAGGAGGAGGAGAGGAGGAGAGGAGGAGGAGAGGAGGAGGAGGAGGAGGAGGAGGAGGAGGAGGAGGAGGAGGAGAGGATGACGCGGGGACCGTCTCTTCAAAACGAGGACCCAACACCACAGGTTGGTTGGGAACAGTCACGACCTATTCTACACATGTGGCAACGATACACGGAACCGACCAATGCAAACGAACATGTTGGATCACCCGCAGGATCATGTGGCGACAGTTGTGCATCTCGCAGCCCCTTTGTGACCCGCGAGGTCTCGGCTGGGTCGGTTTACCACTCCAGTCCGCTGAGCCTGCCTGCGGCTTGCGAAAATGGCGACGGTTGCACAATTTGCAGCCCCCCAGTGACCCGCGAGGTTTCGGATGGGTCTGTTTACCACTCCACTCCGCTGGGCCTCCCAGGAGCCCACGAAAGTGCCGACGGGAGAGCCAGAGTCACAACGGGGCTGCACCGCAAGCAGGACGAAGGAGAGAAGGAAACGAGACAAGAGCCAGGAAGTAGGAGGCAGGAGACAGGAGATGGAGGTGCTCTATTCAAAACGAGCACCCAACACAGGAGGGTTGGGGGGGAAAACAAAAAACACGACTGAAGCCTCGGACCCCCCCTTCCTGCGCCACTGTTCGAGCCGGATCGATCTGTGAGGCTCCCGGGGCCCGAACCTTCAGGTAAACGCCTGGTTCGACGGAACTGAGACGCCAGGATCTCTGGATCCCGCCTCCCTCGCCGCTCCTCGGCCCTGCGGGTGTCCGCGGTTTTTGGTCGTCTCGGCCGCCATCGCAGACGGCCGCGTCCGGTCGCGTTCGGTTCTTGCCTGTTGCCGCAGCGTCGTGGCCGCCTGCAGCCCGCCTGTCTTGGTCGGCCTCGGTACCGATATTTCGCGCCCCCAAACCCATACTTCTCGACGAAAGTGAAGCCGCTGAGAAAAGGAGGGGGCCCTGGGATACACCCCAAGGAGGCTATTCAGACGCACCCCTATCGACTATCGGGGATGGACGCCCCACATCGTATATCCCTGGGTCGGGCCCCAAACTTCTGGTCTATTCGAATACCCAACGAAGCCTGGGATCGGGGTCGACATATATTGCGAAGGCCTTACGGCCGGTGCCGCCGACCTTGAATGGCGACGACGACGACGACGACGACGACGACGAGCGCTCTTGGGGGCCTCTTGGGGGTAGTTTGTGGGCCTCTTGGGAAGCTCTTAGGGGCCGCTGGGAAGCCTCGTGGGGGCCTCTTGGGGTTTCCTGGGGGTCTCTTGGAGGGGGCCTGGGACGTCTTGGAGGCTTCTTGGACGGTCTTGGGGCTATCTTGGGCGTTTTCGGCCGATCTTTGGGCGACTCGGGGCCCTCTTGGGCCGTCTCGGGGGCCATCTGGGGCATTCGGACCTCATTTGGAGTGTTTTCGAGGTTTCTCGAGGGAATCTTCTCTTGCCCTGCTTAGAAAACCACGACGAAATCTGCACCCCCCCCCCCCCCCCCTCCCCCCACCGGGGACCCCCCCCTCCACCCCCCCACCCCGGGACCCCCCCCCTCCCCCCCCACCCCCCCCCTCCCCCCGGGACCCCCCCCCGGGACCCCCCCGGGACCCCCCCCCCTCTGGGGAAGGGATCAAAGGGAAGGGGCTTCCCTTCGACTCGATTACGACACTGCTAGATTTTTCTCTCGCTCACGAGCTTGAGAAGGAAGCTGCAGGGAAAGGGGGCGACGGAGGCGATGACCGACGGAGACGACGACTCCGACAGCCAAGCCCCTCGCACACGCCGACAGGGTCGGCGGATTCCCTATTGGGCCTCGGTCCCGTGGCCACTCTCGGCACGTCTCTCGGCCATGCTGTGGCTGTGGGCGGCCTCGGGGTCTCTTCGGTCCTGCATCCCC